AGCCCCAGCCCAGGTTTTAATAGCTGTCTTGACATACAGACAAATCCACACAAATTAGGATGCCAAAAACCAGTCATTTTGGCCCTGTGGCAACAGTCAGGCTAGCTTACCGATCTGAGATGACTCCTGGCTGTTAGGACATTTAGAAAGTACAGCTGTTGCCTCGGAGGAACCTGGCTCTGGACCTCAGGACTCTGGCTGATTATTAAACAACGACGGCTTCCTGAGTTCAGTACTAGAACTGCTGATGTCGATTGAGTCTTCCCTCTGTGCCAATCACCCTTTCTCCCATCATTCCATTCACTGGTCTCCACAAAGCTGGGAGGTCCCAGTTTTGCAGATGGGAAGTGTGAAGGCCGGCTGCTGGGAAGTCATGCTGGCCAAGTTAATGAATGATAGAGATGGATTCTGTGTATTAATTAGCTTCCATCACCTGAGGAAACACCTGGGAAGTCAACTTCAAAGGGGAGCAGGCTTCTTTTGGTTCACTGCTTTTGAGGCTTCAGCGTGTGGCTGGCTCCGTTACTACAGGCCATGGTGAGGCTGAGCATCATGGCAGCGGTGCATGGTGGTAAAGGCTGCTCACCCCATTACAGAAAGTGATGGGGAGAGAGAGAGAGAGAGAGGCTTGCAGTGACCCACTCCTTCTGACTAACTGTCCCCCACTCCCACCGTCCACACAGATGCAACTCCATCGACAGATTAATCCACTGCTGAAGTTGAACTCCATGCTCTCATCACCTCTGACCTCTGACTCAATGGGGACCAAGATTCCGTGAACCCACCTTTCCTGAAAAAAGCCACCCCTGTGCTGAAGACTGGCTGATTAGGGCTTCCTGCCTGGGTTAAGCTGGGATGGTGCACGTGAAGCCGAGCTATCCCCAGCTAGCCATTGTAACTGCCCTTCACCGTGCACCCCTGCATCTGACCTGGCCTCCTGTGGTTCAGAGGTAAATCCTTTTGCAATATCTTCAAGGACTAATAGCTGTCCCCAAGCCCGAAGCTGAGGATGTCATCAGACAGCATCTGGGACCTACAGCAGAGATGCCCATGCATTGGCCACCTGCCAGCTGGGCTCACCAATGTGTTTGCAAGCAACTGTAACTTTCTTGTTCTGTTGCTGTAAAAAAGTTCAGGAAGCCGTTCCCCACTGTGGATTGTGGAATCTGTGGACCCAGAATCTGTGTTCCTGGGTCAAGATCATCATATTTGATTCCAGGATACACTCTTATTCCACTTGAGTTAAGACCTGTGGGGTTTGTTGTTTGTACATGTGTTAGGGCAATTTTCCTGCCAGCCTGGTCCCACAGCCACACCAGCCCCAAATAACACACAGAGATGCATATTAGATATAAAGCTGTTGGCCTGTTACTAGTGTTTCTTATTGGCTAGCTTTGTTTTAAATATTAACCCATTTCTATCAATTTAAGTCTTACCAGAGAGAGGGTCTGGACATGTTGACTCTCCTACTACATCTCCCAGAATCCTCCTTGTCTCCTAGTCCTGCCTATCTTGCCTTTCTATTTGCCAACAGTGCTTTATTCATTAACCAATACGAGAAACATATTTATAGAATGACATCTCCCATCATACATGTATGAGGGCCATGTGTTCATATGTGTGTGGAGGCCAGGAGGTGATCTTTGTGTTTTCCTCAACTACTTTCCTACCTTACTTAAAAAAAAAAAAAAAAAAAAAAAAAAAAAGGTTTATTTATTTTGCTTTATGTGTGTGAGTGTTTTGGGCAATGCTTTTGTGCCTGGTCCCTTGGGTGGTCAGAAGAGGGTGACAGATCTTTTGGAATTGGAGTTACAGATGTGAGCTGTCACATGGGTGCTGGGAACTGAACCCACATCGTCTGTAAGAGCAGCCAGTGCTCTTAATTGCTGAGCCAACTCTCCAGTCAAACCTGATTATTTTAATTAGTTATTTTTTTTATTGTTTCGAGATGGGCTTTCACTATGTAGAACAGGCTGGCCTTGAACTCACAGAGATCTGCCTGCTTTTGCCTCTGAGTGCTGGCATCAGAGGCGTGCACCACCACATCCAGCTTCTGCATTGTTATTGTTGTTGTTATTATTATTATTATTATTATTATTATCATTATCTAGGATCTTTCACTGAATCATAGCTCGGGTGGCTGAGCAAGGCTCAGCCATGCTCCTGCCTCTGCATCCCAGCATCGTGGTTACAGAGGTTACACGGCTGGCTTTTCTGTGGGCGCCAGGGATTAGAACTCAGGTTCTCATGTTTCACAGCAAGCACTTTACCAAACGAGCCCTCTCCTCAGCTCTGGGGGCTGTGCTTTTGCATCAGCAACTTCCATATGTGAGCCAGGGGCACATTTCACAGCTGAACCATGAGAGTCTGCCTGCCGGCACTCCATGGGGTGGTCTGGCTCTTGGGGCCAGAACCTGGGCATTAGGTCACCAGCCACACTGTGGGAGGCAAGGCCCTACTTACAACAGTGGTTCATCATCTGGCTGCAGATTAGCATCAGAAAAGTTTCTGGAACTATGTAAACCTTTCTCTTTTTCATTCCATCCAAAGGCAAAGGTGGGGTTGGGGAGGGACAGTGACATTTTGATTTCCTCTTTCAAAGTGTGACAATGTGTCCATTTACTGGTTCATTCAACCCATCAAAGGGATTTGAGTATCTACTCTGTCCCCTGCGGTTCCCTGCTCTCCAGAGACAAAGGTGGGTGGACCTCACGTTTGCTCTGCAGCTGTACAGGTGACCCGGCTGTGCTGGGCAGAGGAGGGGAGAGTGAGCCAGCTCTCTTCTCTAATGCCAGCTGCCACCTGCATGGCAGATGTTTGCCTCCTTCCTCACAGGTCTCAAGCTCACAGAACCCCTGAGTGCAGGAGTTAGGCTCTGAGAGCTGATCCAAGTCCAGAGCCCTTGACCTTCAGTGGCGGAAATGCTGAAGACCAGATCAGGGTGAGGATGGCAGGAGCCCACCCTCAAAGTTACAAAGTCAGGCTTGTAACTGGGGCTCCTGAGTGCTCCAAAGTGGCCTGCTGCTCACACCTAGGGTCTTCAGCACTGGCCTAGGGAAGTCCTGGAGTGGGTAACCCACAGACACCGATACCCAGACCTCATCTCTGGAGTGTCTGGTTAGCATTAGAAGCTCTTGAGCTGGCACGGTGTTTGATGCAATAATCCTAGCATTCTGGAGGAGGAAGCAGCAGGAACATGAATTCCAGGCTAGCCAAGGCTACATGGTAAGACCGTGTCTCAAAAAGCCACAAACAGGGGCGAAGAAGGTAGCTCAGTATTAAATGCTTTCTGCTCAACTGGGAGGACTTCCAGAAAGGCAAACACAGGTGAACTTAGGAGCCCACTGTAATGCCAGTCTTACAAGGCAGAGACGCGATTCTTGGGGCAAGCTGGGATGTGACTGAGAGACACTGCCTCAGTGAATAATGTGAGAACACATGGGCTCAGGCCTCCACAGGCATCCTCTACATGTACTCCCACGCACATGCAAAAAACACACATGCATAAACAACTCCCCAGGGACCCCATCCCACTTCCATTCATACCTCATGGAGACCCCTTGTTGCAAGATTTCGGGACCCTCTAGCTCGTCCTGTACAGGGGTCAAAGACATCGCCCCCGCTACTGCCGCCTACCATGAGGGCTTCCGAACAGAGGCAGAAAAAAAAAAAAAAAATAAAAGGAGGGAGGATTAAAAATGGAAAAGCCACTGAGGTGGTCTAGAAAGGAGGGGCAAAGGTTGATCAAGAAGTTCCTGCTGGCTTCACCTCTCAGCACCCTGGGGCTCACGCTGCTTCAAATTCCTCCCTATAATAGCAGTGAACAGACATTACTGATTAAAAACGAGAGTCTATGAAAACAAAACAAAACAAAAAAAATGGCTGTTAGCTTATTAGAGATCATCTCATAGGTCTTAGCATGACATATATAATAAGTGGTACAGTTGATTAACTATCTACACGTTCTGTAAAAGTATATTATGTACTGTACTGTATGTATCCTTTTTACATGCATGCGTGTGTGTGTGTGTGTGTGTGTGTGTGTGTGTGTGTGTGTGTGTAGAGAGAGAGAGAGGAGGGAGAAGAGAGGGGGAAGGAGAGAGGGAGAGGGAGAGGGAGACAGAGGGAGAGAGCGCACCTGTGTGGAAGTCAGGGGACAACCTGTGGCGTTTGGTTCTCTCCTTCTGCCGTGTGGGGCTCAGGACCCAACTCAGTGTCAGGTGGTCTGGAGCACTCACCTTCCATGTCACCATGCTGCCCCTCAGTGGTGCTTGTCACTCGTTTTCCTCTTAGGTACTGTTTCAAGACTTCATTTTTTCAATTTTCTGTGTAGCCAAGGATGACTTTGAATTCATTTCCTGAATGCTCCTGGGGTTACAGAAGTACACCAGCACTCTGGGCAAGACTTTGTTTTTATTTATTTGTTCATCTATTTGGTGTGTGTGTAATGCGTGGGTAGTGTGTGTGTGTGGTGTGTGTGTAATGTGTGGGTAGTGTGTGATGTATGTGGTGTGGTATGTATGTGGTGTGTGTGTGTGTATGTGTGTGTGTGGTGTGTGTGCAATGTGTGTGTGGTCTGGGGTATGTGTTGTGTGTAATGAGTGTGTGATATGTGTGTGTGTATGTGGTGTGTATGGTGTGTGTGCGTGTGCGTGCATTCCCACGTGTGTATGTGTGGGTGTGTTACAGTGCTCAAGTGCCGGTCAAAAGACAACTTTTGAGAGTTATTGTTTTCCCTTCACTGTCTGGTTCCTGGTGACAGAAATCAGGTTTCTGTCTGTTTTGTGGCAAGGGTTTTACCTGCTAAGCAGTCTTGCTAGCCCAAGATTCTGCTTTTGAAGTAAGTGCTAAATGCTAAACCCTGTGCTGGGCTTGAGGCGGCATGTGAGAGGGAAGATGGTGGCTGCCCTTCCCAGGATGTGTTCCCACATCCACCCATCACCCCTACAGGAGGGGCTCCCACCCTGCAACCCCAAATGCTGTACGTCACACCCTCAGAGTCAACAGCAGGATTTTATTATGTGTCAGAAAGCAAGCCCTCTTTTCTATTTCTCCGAAGTCAGATCCAGGAGAGTGACCACATCAAATGTCCCCCGCCCCACTCCACACCGAATCCTCCCACTTGCCGTCCTCCCTCCTTTCCTACACCCTGGCCCCTCAGTTGCTCTTCTCGGATGGCAAAGGCTGGTATGCGGGACATAGGCTGTCCCTCCACAGGCGGTAGGTGATGGCACCAGTCACGGTGAGCCAGGCCAGGTAAGGCAGCAGGAGCAGAGCAGCCAGCTTGTTGATCGGCTGCCAGATAAGCACCATGCTTGCCACCAGCCCATAGAGCAGCAACAGGTCCAGGAGGGCCTGGGCAGAAGTGTTGGGAGTCTAGAGTCAGAACCCTCTGCCTTTCTATAAGACCCTCACCCAAGAAATTCCCCCCCGGGGGCCCTGTGCACACTGTAGGACTTGTGCGCATGTCCCTTGCTGGTCCCTGACACCCACTGTCTGACGTGGGGTCCCGTAGTCTCATGTTCCCCTTCTCCCATCATGGAGTACCATGTGACTTACCAGCCCAGGGTTGTTGGCTGTCAGGAAGAGCATCAAGAAGGTCCAACTGAGGGTGAGCTGGAAAGTGTAGAGGCCAAGGGGCAGTACTAGGGGCCACCGGAAGCCCCCTCCCAGGTCCTTCCACACCAGGTAGGAGGAGTAGCTGCAGAAGGAGGGTGTTCTGTAGGGTCCAGGCCCTCTGGCATAAGGCCGCTTGGCTGTCAAGGAGTACCCTGAGCCTGGCATGTGGTCAGGTGGGTGCAAGCATCCTTTGAGGGCCAAGGGAGGGGCTAGAGAGATGGATCAGCCGTTAAGAGCACTTCCTGCCCTTCCAGAGGACGCAAGTTTGGTTCCCAGCACCCTTGCCGGGTGGTTCATAATTTCCTGTATCTGCAGCTCCAGAAGACCCAGTGCCTTCTTCTGGGCTCCATAGATATTCCCGTGCAGCATACATTCACACAAACAGACAGGCAGACAGACAGACAGACACAGACACAATCACCCATGTAAAATAAAATAAACCTTGAGAGTCAAGGGAGAGCTGGAGGGAGAGGTTGGGTGGGAGGAGTTGGGTGTCTTGGGGAGAAGGCTGGGAGGGTTAGAGAGAGTGGGGCAGAGGATCTTAGGTGCGTTGGGCATTTCTGCTTGTGGGGACACCTACTGGAAGGGAAACAATGGGGTATAATCCATTTGGAGCCCAGTGTACAGCCCAAGCTCATACACGGGGGGATTCTTTTTCACCTGGCAGATACGAAGGCCACACACTCACCCAATGACAGAGTAGATGGTCGCCCATACAATCAAAATGACCTTTCGGGGTGGGCACCACAGCTTCCCCTCTTCCTCACACCAACCGGATGTCTGATTATGAGTGAACATGCAAATCAGGATGGGTCCCAGGAGGGGCACACCCACAAAGACAGACCCTTGAGGCTGCATTCACCGCAGAGAGGCACAATCTGGGGAGGCAGAGAGCAAGCTGGGATGAGTCTTCCTTAGTCCTTCTCCTGGGCCTTCAAACCTTGGGGTCCCCCTGCCTCGAGCCCAGCTCCAGTTGTGACCTCTGAATCATGTTCAGCCACTGCTACCCTGCCATTTTTAGTTGTGACCTCTGAACCATCGCCAGCCACGGCTACCCTGCCATTTTCTGGCATCCATGGCCCTATGTTGTCCACATTCACCAGGCATGCAGCCGCTGGGGAGCACGGCTCCGCATCACATGGGCAATGGCTTCTGAGTCAAAGGCTTCCTTCTCTCCATGGTCCGGAAGTCAGGACCAGGCTTGATCTTTGTCTCCCGCCACAGGCAGCACCTGGCCAGGCAGATAGCAAGCCTGTAGTGTCTCAAAGACCATGTGTCACAAAGGCTGATGGTGGCATCCTGGAGGGAGCGGGGAAGTTTATGAGGCTTGTTGGTTGGTTCACAGGCTGGACTTAGCTGGGGCCATTCCTTTGATTTCCTGTCAGTGCGTTTCCTGAGGTGAATAGACGCTTGTCTGCATGGCAACCGTGTTCTGTTCTGAGAGTAGGAGCCAGGGATTGCTACACCAGTTATAACCCCAGTTGCCCCGCCCATCTGCTCCAGTCTTATCTCATTAGACCAGACCGGCACACACAAGAGATCCACCCAGGCTGGTCTGCAACCTCAGGCACGGCCAACCGGCGCAGCGCCGTGGGTCCCCTCCTAGGAAGCATTAGTTCTCACCTGCTCTTGGCACTTCAGAGCTGTGGTCTGCGTCTCCCCATTCCCACAGGTCTGGTCTGCAAACACAGGTGTCCGGATTCCTTGTGGTTTGACTCTCAGGGACACAACAGCCTGTTCTTATATTTAAAAGAATACTGTCACTCATTTGCATGTTGCTTTCCTTGTATGCGGTTTTCATAAGGGCCAACGTTTAGGCCCCGGCCAGCATCAATCTTCTGACTTGTTTGTGCTGTTTCAGCATCCGTCTTAAGATCAGTGGAATGTGACAGAAATAAAAGTCTGATTGCTTTCAGTGCCCTTTCCTATCAAGGGTCAAAGACGAGCTCTGGAGACTCCTGGGATGGGGCTGAGCTTCCTGCCTCTCTGCATTTTCCTGTCTGGTTCTCCCTGCTTCTCACTGTTACTTCCCCGGCTCAGTTTTTCCTGTCTCTTTAATCCAGTGCTGGAGGTCTCCCTCATTGACCATGCTCATCCCCTCTTCTGTTCCCAGGCCTGCCTCACTTACCTCAGACACACATCTCCCAGGCGGGATGCCTGATGACAAGGCAGAAGAGGGTGAGGGACTGGAGAGGGGTGGAGCTGGGCTCCCGCTGGTCCCAGATGAGAGGGTGGTGACTTTGCTGGGAGTGTATGTTGCTGTTTGTGTGAGGGCTCCTATCCACATACCCACATCCTGGTTTGTTAGGGCTTTGTGTGTGTGAGCATGCGCGCGCTAGCGCATGTGTGTGTGTGTGTGTGTGTGTGTTATTGGGGATTAAATGAGCCCAAGGCTCCATATCTGCTATATCAAGCACTCTACTGCCCCTCTTCCCCTCCTTCGGAGCCTCGCCTCGGCTCTTTCTTGATACATGCATGAGTCTTTGGAGGAGGTCCTCTTGATGGACCAGTTCAGAGTTAGACATTGAAATGTGGACCTTCTGTTATAGCCCAGTCTGGAGCTACAATCCTACTGGTCTCTGTACCTGTGACCCAGCTCTGTGTCCCTGAGGATGACAAGGGCCCCCAGGTTTCCTTAGAGCTCTTCTAGAGCCAGACTGTCTCCATGTGCAGTAACCACCAGCTTTGTGTTCACCATCCATGAACACAGTCGCCTCTCCGACTTCATCCTCGAGGCCCGCCTGTTTCTGCCTGGCTGGAGTTTGGCTTGTCTTTCCCAATCCCCAAGCACTTCAGGGGCAGAGGAGGTGGGTGGGGCATCTGGGTAGGAGTGGCCTGGTGCTCCCTCCCAGCCACCCTGGAAAGGGACAGGGGAGACTGTCCCTGTAGGCTGGCCCAATCTTCTGTGTGACTCAGATAGCTTTGTGTAACAAAGACAGCCGCCTCCCTGTTTGACCCCCATCAGAGTTCTGAGCAGCCTTCTTGCCTACCCTTAGGCACTGGGCCTCCTTTGCAGGGCTGGCTGCTTTTCCCAGGTCCCTGGTGGCACCCACTGGGGCTCCCTGGGGTGTGTTTGCCTCACCATCCCTATCCAGGGATGGAAGCAGAGGGGGAGGGGGATGAGAGACTAGAGAATAATTAACTAAAAGAAGAAAGACGAGGAAGCCATTTCTATATGTTCTTTTGTGTGTGCGTATATGCACATGTGTGTACACGGGTGTGCAGTGCATGTGTGTGTGTATGTGGATGTGGGGTATGTTATCTGCACATGGAGGCCAGAGGACAGCCTTGAGTGCCAGATCTCTCAGTCGGAGTCCACGATTTTATTTTTATTTTTTTGAGGCAGGTTCTCTCCCTGGCCTGGAGCTGTCAAGTCAGCTGGCTGCCTTGGCTATCGGGCCCTGGGCTCCATCTGTCTCCATCTCCCCAGCTCTAGAGTTATGAGTTTCTTTTGTGTGGATTTGGCCATTGAACTCAGGTCCTTGAGCACGCAACACAAACATTATATTGATGAGCCATTTTCCCAGCCCAAATTTTCTTATTCTTTTTTCTTTTTAAGTTGTATTTAGGGGTTGGAGAGACCATTCAGTGGTTAATAAAATGTGTGGCTCTTTCAGAGGACTGGAACTCAGATCCACTCAAGTGGCTCACAGCTACCTACAACTCCAGCTTGCCCTCTTCTGGTCTCTGAAGGCTCCCATATACAGGCTGTGCTGGCTTCAATCTGACACACACACACACACACACACACACACACACTCACACACGCGAAACAAAAATGAACATAAAGCACACATAAATAAAAAATTTAAAAATTGTATTTTACTTTTGATTGACTCATAGGAACTACATATTTATTGGGTCTAATGCAAGATATCTTGATACATGGATCCATTTTGTAACGGTCAAATCAAAGTAATTAGCATATTAATTTCCTTAAACATTTATCACTGAAGCTGTGAGGACAGTGAAAATCCTGCTTTCTAACTATTTCAAAATGCTTGGCCCACTGTTACCTGTGGACACACTGCTGCACAGCAGTCTCACAGAGCACCAGAACTTATTCTACCAAACAGCGACCCACTGGCCAGCATTTCCCGCCCCCTGCTCCAGACTTCTTTTCCCAGGCTTTCCCATGGTTACTGCAGCACGGTGCACAAAAGCCAAGATGTGCCGCGGATGTAAGAGCCCATGGACAGACGGCTGGTGCTGAAGGGGCAGAGAGCCGCAATCGGGTGGCCACCTCTCCACCCTGGAGGGTTTTCAATTCTAGGGGCTCAGAGCCTGGAGAGTGACAGCACTAACTCCAGCTCGCCCCCCAACCATCTCCGAGGGGGCTGGGAGCAGATCTGTGAGTCCATCACACGGTGCCTGTGAGATCTCCCCATGTAGGAAGGTCTGAAAAGAACCCTCAGTGCGTGGACCCGCTACGCTGGCTCACCCAGAAGGATCTTTGAGCTGCGGTCTCCAGCACAGACCCAGTGCAAACAGCGGGTGTGTTTCAACAAGATTCCCAGGTGAGTCCTGAGTGCCTCAGTCATGTGATTCCCTGGCCAAGGTTCCCTCCTCTCCTGCCTTTGGTAGGGGCTGCTGTTCCCCAGCAGAGGGCACTATGAGGAGGGGGCTTCTAGATGTGAGACCTGCACCAAAGCTGCCCCTCACCCCTCCTTTCCAGACTTGCCCTGGGAAGTGTACGGACTCCCAGACCTCACCTGGACTTTACCGACAGATGAAGACACATGCCGCCACCCCTCCTTATCGTGACCGGAGGCAGGACGCTGCCGGGAAGTGGCAGGCCACACCTGCCTGGATTCCCCGCCCAAGTCCACTTGTCTGCTGGCCTGGAGACAGGTCTGGCTGGCCTCTCTGTTGCTTAGAGAAGGAACCATCGCTTCTGGACGCACTAGCGGCCACTGGGAACAAGCCGACATTAAGGTGAGCACCCCAGGGCAGCTCAAGGGGTTGGGCATGGCTAAGGGGCCCAGGAAAGAGCCAGGTCACCTTAGCTAGTCTGCCACCTTGTGAGGATCCTCTGCAGGAGGGAGGGAAGAAGGGGCCAGTGCTGGCTGGGGACAGGAGCGTGTGTGTGTGTGTGTGTGTGTGTGTGTGTGTGTGTGTGTGTGTGTGTGTGAGTCTGTGTTTGGTGGAAATGTATATTATGCTCACAAGTGCTGGCATGAACAGAGCATGGCCTCACTCACTCTGTCTTGTGGATTTTGTTGTTTCCCTGGAACTATGGTACTATGGCTTGTATCCAGAGACTGGGGCATGCAGACAAGCATTCCATCATTGAGGTACATCCCCAGTCCTGTTTTACTTTCTATTTGTGTTTGTTTGAGGTAGAGTCTCACTACATAGCCTGGGCTGTCCTGGAGCTCACTACCAGGCTGGCCTCAATCTCACAGAGATAGAGATCCATCTGCCTCTGTCTCCTAAGTGCTGAGATTAAAGGTGTGAGCCCCCATGCTGAGTCCTTACTTTAAATCAGACTCTTGTTGTATGCCCAGGATGGCCTTGAACTCTCTGTATGCTCAGGCCAACTTGACTTTGTGATCTTCCTCCTTCAGCAGCTGCAACGCCAAGCCCAGCCCAGGCCAGGCTTACTCTGAACTCTATCGGGTGATTACAGAAGGAAGCCGTGAGTGAGGTGGGGAGGGTTCACATCTACGGGACAAGAACAGAATTTTGCAGTAGGATTCTGGATCTTTATCCTTGGGACAGGTGATGACAGTATTCTCATGATCCTGGTTTTGGGGAAATGCTACCCAGAATGCTCTGGACTCGAGACAGACAAGTTGGAAGAATTTGCTTCTGAGGAGTCAGGAGTTGGAGAACAGGGTGAATTTGTAGTGTTGTAGGTGATTCCCCTAAACGTTGGCTCCTTCCCCTTCTTGGGAGCAGAGGGGGTCTGGGGTGAAGGTTAAAGGAGTATGGAAGGGTGGTCAGCTAGCCCCAGGCTTGAGCTGGGGAGAGTCAAGCTGCTGCAGGTCAGAGAGATCAACCTTGAGGCCCAGGGCACTGTGGGAATGCTATATACTAACTTTCCAGGTGGGGTGGCTAGGCAAGGGACCTGGCCCAATGAGCAGGAGGGGATTTGGACTCTGGTCTTTAGCGGCCCCAAGAAGGTGGTTGTTATAGAAACAGAGTCATTCCTCTGGTTTTGTTCCCTTTTATCAGCCGTTCCTGTCACCAGAACCTTGGTGGGCAGGGAACCCAGAGACGCGACGCCTTTACGTGTTTTTAGCTTCCTCTGGTTCCTTCTCCTCCTTTTCCTCCTCCCACCCACCTTTTCTCCCCCTCCTCCCATTTTCCTTTTCTTGTGTTGACTTACTTATTCACTTTTATTTTCTGTGTACAGTGTTTTGCCCGCATGTTTGGATGCACACCATGACCATGTAGCGCCCACAGAGGCCAGAAGCGGGGTCAGGTCATTTGGCCCTGGAGTGACAGATGGTTGTGAACCCCCGTGTGGATGCTGGGAATCAAACTCAGGTCTTCTGAAAGCCAGTGCTCTCAACCACTGAGCCATCTCTAGTCTCTTTCTTTCTTTTCCCCTCCCTCCCTCCCTTTCTTTCAGACAGAGTCTCATTATATGTCCTCAAACTCCCAACCGTCCTGCCCCAGCCTCCCAAGTGCTGCTATCACAGAGCAGAGCCATCTTTCTTTGTGTTTGCTTCTTCTCCATCCAACACCATTCTCTCTAGACGTGGGACCGAAGAGACCTAGGAGCAGAGGAGGAGGGAGGCAAGCTGGGGATGGGGGTACTCTGAACTTATCACTCATTCATCTTCACTTGCTACTTAATAACTTGCATCCCTGCTGCAGACAGACATCTCAGCCTCCCCACCTGTGAAACAAAGACACAAGCCAAGCCATCTCTAGTACAGTTTTAATAGTTGCACTGTTATTAAGTAGGCAGTAAGAGGAATGAGGAGCTTAAGGGGGAGCTTGCTTCTTTACCTAACTCGGCTTCCAGCCTGGCCTGATTCACCTGTGGCCTTGCAGATGGCCTGGCTAAAGAAGGTTGAGGCTCTGGCCTCAGGGTTGTGTTTCAAGATAAAATGAACGACGCATCATTCACATCTTCAGTGAGGATGCAAGGAAACTGTTCCCTCCCAGACCCTCAATGGTGACGATGCAGAGGAGCCTCTGCCTGTCTGGAAAGGAAGTGATATCTTCTTAGGTATTCAGGAGGGCAAGAAGTGTTGGAGCTTAGCTGCAGGTGACTGGGGAGGGGGTACTGGGAGCCTTTCCAGTTAGTGCGCAACTGGATGGGTTACAGAGGTCTCCTTCGAAGGAAAGTGGCACTGCTCAGGGAGTCCAGCTGTCCAGTGGAGGAATCGCATTCCCCCAGCAGCTCCTCCAGGGCTGAGCAAGGCATCTTTGGAACTTTGGGAGCCTCCCATGGTGCCTGATGTGCAGCGGGTGCTCAAAAGTCACTCATCTTAGTGAGAAAGCTGGTGGCACAGTCTATAAGGAAGAGCTTTGCAGGCCAGATTGACAGTGGAGAGGTTGTGAGCCAGTCAAGGGCTGGAGCATCATGGAGACTGCAAGGAGCCAAAGTCAGGAGCCGGAGTGCACAGGGAATGGTGAGCCCTGTCCCCCCAGACTGTGTGGGTGCTAGAACTTATCAGGGCTCATGGAGGAAGTAGAAGGGGGGGGTGGAAGCAGGTTCAGGGAAAGCTGGCGGGTATGCCGGAGGTTGCTAGAAAGTTCTAGATTGTCAGATAGCCGGGCAAGCCCTCAGAGAGCATGTGCTTTTGCCTGTCCCATTTCAGCCACTCTGGAGATTCCACCTTCTTCTCTCCCCCTTTTCTTTTTGCTTCCATTTTTAACTTTTCCTGTTCACGTTGTACTGTACATACACCTGGCAGCTACCTTCGGACCTTTATGGCAGAAGGAGGGGCATAAATAAACACACATGTGGATAGAGCTTTATCATCTACAGTTGCTTTTCACATGACCTCATGCTAGCCTCCCTAAGTGCAAAGCTATGGCACTCAACAACCCCCACCTCCCAAGGACCAGGGAGATGGCTTGGTTGAGAGCATGCTTCCTGTGCAAGCACAGAACTGAGTTGGACCCATGGTACCCATGTAAAAATGGGAGCATGGTGACTTGCATTAATAATCTTGGCACTGAGGATGCAGTGGACCCTGGGCCTTATTGGCCATCCATTCAAGCCTGTTGCGTGAGTCCTAGTCCCAAAAAAGCAAAGAGAGAAATAAAGCAAAGCTAAACAAAACAGCCCCAACCAGCCAACCAACCAATCAAGCAAACAAATAAAAGAAGGCTCAGTGGTTATGAGTGCTTGCTGCTCTTCCAGAAGATGCAGTCTGGTTCTCAGCACCCATGTCAGGCAGCTCACAACTGCCTTTAACTGTAGCACCAGGGGAATCTGATGCCTCTAGCTGCTGTGGGCACTGTACTCAATGCACACACATCTATACACACACACACACAAACGTGCACACACACACACACCTATATGTAATTTAAAATGATAAAAATAAAGAAAAAAAAAAACAAACCAAACCAATAAGATGGCTCCTGAAGCATGATATCCAAGGCTGACATTTGATTTCCACATGTATACACACCCACATACACAGGCATGCACACACACACAATTACAAAGTTCGTGCTTGCTGTGAAAAATCCAAGTAATGCAGAGACTGCCAGAATTCAGTCCTGTATTCTCCAGTTGTCATGATTTTCAGTGGTGATCAATAGAACAGGTTGGGAATATATCCTTCCAGCCTTTCAGTAAGAAACAAGTCGTCACGGAACCATGAGTGTGAACTATGGCCACTCCCAGCTGACCTGTGCGCTAAGTATAAAGTACTCATGGAGTCCAGTGGTAAATAGCTCTCTAATGAGTTCATACCCACTGCCTGCCAAAATAATATTTTGAATGTGTTGGATTAAATACAAATATTATTATTACTTTAAATACTTATTTTGGTATTCCTTATGTGTATGTATGTGCATGTCTGTATGAGTGTGTGCCTGTATGTATGTTCCCACAGAGGCCAGAAGATGGTATAGAATCCCACGGAGCAGGAGCTACAGGCATTGTGAGCCACCCAACATGGATGCTGGGGTCTGAATCTCAGATCTCTGTAAGAGAAGTAGCTGCTTTTAACCACTGAGCCATCTGTCTCCAGCCCTTGCTACTGCTTTGTAATGTGATCAATAAAATATGTCAGATTACATAATTGGCTTGTGTTTTATGGCATTTCACTATTGAAGACACTCCTCTATAATTTACACACTCTCTCTTTCCTCTGCTCACTCTCTTCCATACAGTGTGCTTTCTTCACATGTTACTCTGGCTCAAACTCAGGGTCTCCTGTACACAAAATACCCAGTCTATGCTTGTATTTTATACCCATGAGATTGGAGGCTGCTTTTTCCTTTACGGATTTTTTTAAAAAAGGAGTGCTCTTAGATAAAGATAGATTTTGTTTGTGAGATGCTATGTTACCCAAGCCTCCAATTCAGGGTCCCTGTATCTCAGCTGCCTGATTGCTAGGATTATAGGCGTGTACCTCTACTTACTCAAAAGTAGATATCTGGACGAATGAGGGCATTAAGGTATTTTAAGCAACGTGACAATCAGAACAGGTACAGTGACCAACATAGCTTTAAACTCATGTCCTCTAACTTGGAATATAAGTTCTTTTGCCCAGGACTTTGCTGTAACTAGGTTTTGAAGAAGCTCTTTAGTTTCAAGACAGGGTCTCAGTTTGTAGCCCAAGTTGGCATTGAACTTCAGATCTTCCTGCCTCACAAGGGCTGGAATTATAGGTGTGCAGGAAGGTTCCTGTGTGTGTGTGTGTGTGTGTGTGTGTGTGTGTGTGTGTGTGTACTTTCATGGGGGAAGGGGAAAGTAGGAGGGGAGTGTGCATCCCTGTAGGGGAGCGAAGCCTTGGCTTCCACAAATTAAAGGCAGCCAGCCCTCCTGACTTCCACCCACTTTCCCCTCAGGCCCGTGGCCTTGGCTGGTGCAGGGGTGCAGGAGTGGCCAGGCGGATGAGCCCGCAGGAGAGTTCTATCCACCCTTTCCAACTTCTCCTGTTGCTGGGGATCCCTGTGGCCAGCGCTTTCCTTCTGGTGCAATGTCTGCTATGGCACTGTTCTCGGTGGCTGCCAGGGGCCTGCTGGAGGCCAGGTGACCAAGAGGAAGCAGCGTCACCATCCACTCCATTGCCAGAGCATGAGCTCCCAAGGCATTGCCCAACCCAGACACTAATGGAAGTGGCTGCCTTCTACCAGGAACTCCATGCGCCCACCCGGGGCCAGACCATCACCCGCCAGCTGATGCATAAGCTACTGGTATATTCTGCTCGAGAGGTGGACCATCGTGGTGGATGCCTGATGCTGCATGACACAGGCATTTCCCTGTTCATCCCACCAGGTAACCACTCCTAGCATCCTTCTTGACAGACTTCTTCAGGCAGCCAAGTTAGGTTACCCTGTCTGAGCTTCGCCCACAGAAAACTTTGGAGTTTGGAAAACTGTATTCACGCTTTAGCACATCTTTTGGGACAACTTCCCTGCAGGCAGAAGTAAAATTCCGTGCTCTAAAGACAGCCTGCTATGACCATTCTTCAAACAAAGGAAGGAAGACTGTGGTGTGCAAAGTCACATAAGCCCCCATACAAGAGGCTGTGGCCCTGCAAGGAAATGGGCTGTTTTAGAATTGAACCCCAAGTCAGTCAGCTCACGGGTGAACTTCCTCGTTCCGCACTGCTGGGCTGGGCTTTGGGCTCAGATCCTCTGCCCACTCTGCCTGATCTCCTTTAAGGGACAGGGCATCACTTGCTAGACTTATCTCGGCCCTTTGTCCTTCCAGGTGCTGTGGCGGTGGGTCGCCAGGAGAGGGTGTCCTTGGTTCTGGTGTGGGACCTGACAGACGCCCCGTCATTGTCTCACAGACAGGGACTAGTGAGTCCTGTGGTGGCATGTGACCCTCACGGGGCCTCTTTCCTGAAGCCTTGTACCCTCACATTCAAGCACTGTGCCCAGCAGCCCGGTCAGGCCTGCGCCTACAAGAGCAATACTTCCTTGCTGGATGCCAAGGACTGGAAGCCCCTGGGTCGGCAGGGGACTTATATCTCCCGGGATGAGTGTCGCATCCTGCTCTCTCACTTCAGGTAGGCCCTTCCATGGCTTGTCCCATTGCTCTGTGCCTTTCTCTGGCAGTGGCCTCTCTTTCTGTCTGCTCCCTTCTTATCTTTGTCTCAAGGCTGCTTGCCTCTTTATTTGCCTAGGATACTTCACAGTCTGTTAGGACCTTTGTGTCCCTGTCTGAGGCGGCTGTAATGTCCGTGGTGGTCATTTCTGTCACTGAAATCCATCTGAGACTGTGTGTGTCCTTTGCCTCATCCCTCTGTCTAGCAGGCATGACCGACCCACAGTCCACAGGCCCCACACAGCCCAAAGAGCCATGAACAAAGCCCAGACCAAAATCATAGACTTGCTTAAAACATTGAGATTTTGTTTTGTTTTGAAATTTCATTGCATGGTTCTTGAGTGTGACTATAAATGGCATCGTTGTGCCTCAGTGTCGAAGGTTGGACTTTGTCCCATCTCCACATCTGTCTTTTATAGCTGCCCTTTTCTATCCTGTGCCCCACTTCAGGACTGTCCCCAAACTCTTAAGCAAGGACAGGTTGTCCCCTTCAGGCTCCTATCATGTCTGTTCTCCATCGCTTAGGGTCTTAGTCCTCTGCTTCCGAGTTTCCTTGTCACCCATTAACCCTTAGGAGGCCCGCTTCAAGTCGTGGGGACCCCCACTGCCAGATGACACGCACTGGCTTGCCTCCCCAGTAGGTAGTCGCTGTGTCAGTCACCTTCTCGTTGTGTGACAAAAGCGACCTAAGGCAGGAAGGACTTGTTGGGTTCACATCTCATGGGTGCAGTCAGTCATGGAGGCATCTGGTCTTGTTGCCCCTTCAGTCAAGCATCCGAGAAAGAGATGGCTGTTGCTGCTTCTGTTTCTTTTTCATTCGGCCCAGGAACCCTATGTGTCTGTCAGGGTTGGTCCTGCTACCTCAGTAACTCAAGTGGGAAGCTCCCTCAGTGACATGCCCAGAGGTTTATCTCCGTGGGGATTCTAGATCCTGTCAAGCCCACAGTATTAGCCTCCCAGTCATCATGGCCCATTACTTCCTGACCCTTCAAGGCACGCCCGCCTCTCACGTGGCCCTCCTTCTATGCGTATTTGGAGTGCCCTCCTCACCCCCTTAGAACCCCGTAGGTGAAGGAGCGTGATGGCAGGCACCTTGGGACCCTGGCCTTCCTAGTGCTCACGCGTGGGTGTCTGCCACCCTGTCCCCCCACAGCCTCTACACCTGTGTTCTGGAGGCACCCCTGGGCCAGACGGCCCGCAAGTGGCTGCAGCTGGCAGTGTTCTGCTCCCCTCTGGCCCCCGGGCAGACCCACCTGCAGTTGCGTGTCTACTTCCTGAACAATACCCCCTGTGCCCTGCAGTGGGCTATCACCAATGAAGAGCCCCATGGTGGACGCATGCATGGGCCCTGCCAGCTCTTCGACTTCACTGGGGCCAGAGCAGACCAGTGCCTGAAGCTCAAGTATATCTCTGAGGGTGAGGAGGTGGGCTGGGGCCGGGGATGGAAAGCTCCGTGAGAGGGAGGGTTCAGGTCTCCCCTCTAGCCATGCAGGAAATCCAGAAACCGCAAGCGTATTTCCTGCACTCGGGTTCCCAGCAGCCTCCTGGCTTTGTTCGCGGTCCTCTGTCTCCCACTCAGTCCTTACCTGGAACAGGAGGATGCGAGGTGGGAGGCTAGAAGCGAGAGGAACCTCGATTGGGAATTGTGTTCTGAATTTGGGCCCTTCTTAAGGCTAGGACTGCCGGCGGTGTTTCTGGAATCCTCTGTGTGGTTGTGGACAGGAACATTTCTGGGGTATACAGCTGCTTTAAGAGGTGGGATAGAGGGAGGGAGGCTGAGGGGCTGTGTGTGTGGGGGGTATAGAAGTAAGGCCAGTTTGAGGTGCATTGGTTTGAGACCCTTCTGGCTGTTATCATCCTGATGCCTCTCCGCATTCCCCTTGAATACTGTGGAAGGCCTTGTGCGCTAAGGTCTGCTTCTGCCCTCTCCCCAGGTTGGGAAAACGTGGACGACAGTAGTAGCCAGCTGGTTCCCCATCTCCATATCTGGCATGGGAAGTGCCCCTTCCGCTCTTTCTGCTTCCGGAGAAAGGCAGGTACGCCAGGAGGCCTGTTTACTTCCCGATCCTCTCTCCCAGCCCCCCCCCACTCTACAGCCCTACCCTCAGCTCCAACTGTAGTCTTTTTCTTGCCCGCCTGCCCATCTTGCTTCTCTTTGTAGCCAATGAGAAAGAAGACTGCTCGGCATTAACCAATGAGATCATTGTCACCATGCACACCTTCCAGGATGTGAGTTGCACAGAAGCATAAAGGGAGGGCAGGGCCCGTGGAAGGTCTGGGTAAGGGAAACGGGTCCAGGACACAGTGGTTAGGGACCTAATTACAAAACAAAGTAGCTAAAGAGGGCATTTGCCATAGAGTTACCATGCCAGATTTTAAGGGACGTAGACCAGCTGGCCCCTAGTCATTCTCTGTTTCTGAGCCCTTTTTATGGAAGGATGAGGTTAAAAGATCAAAACCCTACAGTAAATCTTTCTTCAAGCTCAGGACAGCTCTGGCATCTGGAAGACCAGGCCTCCTCCATGGTGACTGTCCCCATCTGACTTCAGTGGGGATGACTAGGAAGGGGGACTTGAGTAGGTGGAAAGGGGGTTAGAAATCTCTCTTCTTCTCCTCCTCCTCCTTCTTTTTCTTCTCCTTCTTCTTCCCTTCCTCCCTCCCTCCCTTCCTCCCTCCTTCCCTCTCTCCCTCCCCCTGTCCCTTCCTCTTTCCCTCCTCCCATAGACACAGGGAAGAGACAAACATGTCAGGTTTGAGATCAGGCTGGGGGCAGACACCACACATTGTCATTTGGGGAGGACAGTTGGAGGTCAGTTTCTCTGTTAGTGGGTGGTGGCCCGTGTTTTGCTGGTACCTTCTGCTAGCTTACGGAGTATCCTGTGAGATTTTTGTTGTTCTCTGGGGCAAATCTAAGGCTGACTGTGGGGTTCTTAGTCTGGAGGCAGAGAGTCCAGGCTGCTGGGTAGGGTGGGAGCTGTCACTTGTAGAGACAGGGCTGTGACAGGTTGAAGGACAGTCGTGAGGAATATATTAGGAGTTTCTCATGACTCCTGAATGTATTTCCTGTCCCTGTTGGTGATTCAGGGCTGGGAAAACAAGTACATGGAAATCCTCAGATTCCAGGCAGCAGAGGAAGAGTCCTGGGCAGCACCTCCTCCTGTCTCTCAGCCACCCCCGTGTAATCGGTGAGTGGTATGGCTGCTGTCTGGGGGTGTTTGGCAGGTAAAGAGACTGGAGAATGACTGAGTCCCTTTGTGTGTGAATGTGTGTGTGTTCAAGTATGTGGGTGTGTGAAAGCACATGTGTGTGTGTATATGGAGGCCGGAGGTGACATGTGTGTGTACATGGAGGCCGGAGGTGACACGTGTGCGTGTACATGGAGGCCGGAGGTGACACGTGTGCGTGTACATGGAGGCCGGAGGTGACACGTGTGCTGTGTATATGGAGGCCGGAGGTGACACGTGTGCTGTGTATATGGAGGCCGGAGGTGACACGTGTGCGTGTACATGGAGGCCGGAGGTGACATGTGTGTGTGTATATGGAGGCCGGAGGTGACACGTGTGCGTGTACATGGAGGCCGGAGGTGACATGTGTGTGTACATGGAGGCCGGAGGTGACACGTGTGCGTGTACATGGAAGCCGGAGGTGACACGTGTGCGTGTACATGGAGGCCGGAGGTGACACGTGTGCGTGTACATGGAGGCCGGAGGTGACATGTGTGTGTACATGGAGGCCGGAGGTGACATGTGTGCTGTGTACATGGATGCTGGAGGTGACATGTGTGCGCATATATGATGGCCGGAGGTGACATGTGTGCGCGTACATGGAGGCTGGAGGTGAACCTTGGGCATTCTTTTCAGGAGCCATCATCTTAATTTTGAGGTAAAGTCTCTCATCGGAACTTGGAGCTTGGGTGGCAGCAAGCCCCAGACTCTGCCTGTGTCCCTCTGTCCCATGCTAGGGTCACCAGCGCATGCTACCACACTGACTTTTTATGTGGGCGCTGGCTATTGGCCCTCATGGTTGTGTGGGCAGCACACTGAGCTGTCTGCCCAGCCTTTTGTCTCCGAGCCTTCCTCTCCTAAACACCCTTCTTCCCCGCCTCAGGCTGCCGCCAGAGCTCTTCGAGCAGCTGCAGATGTTGTTGGAGCCCAGCAGTGTCACTGGGAATGACTGGAGAAGACTGGCCTCCCACCTGGGGCTCTGTGGCATGAAAATCCGGTAAGGAAGGGCAGGGCTGTAGTGGAAGTCAAAAGTGGGCTGGGCTGGGGCGGGGCTTCAGGACATGCTGGGGGCTGGACAAGTTAGTGAATGGCTGCTTCCCACCTGAGTCCCTGTGGAAGGACAGAGTTTTCTGTTGATTCTACATCCTTAATCTCCAGAGAAACTGTTACCATAAAGCAGCCACTTGCTTTCCCTGTGTGTCCAAAGAAATTGGGAAACAGAAATTGATAAAAATAGTTTTATTTCCAGTTTAGCCAAACTGGGGAGAGAAAGATTTCAATTCCTCACAAGCGCCTTATAATTTAGTCATGAGTCGGGCCAGAAGACAAACAGACCTGGCTATAGGGCAGTCTATTTCCCAGGGCCTGGGGAAGGTGACTTGTCCCCAGGGCCTCAGTTCTCTATACCAGAGTCAGTTTTAATTATTGTTCAAGTCCAGGACTTGAAAAAAAAAATGGGAAGGAGGCATTAAGGTTCCCCTTTTTGTAAGAGTCTCTCAGGGGTTGTTTGGGGTGGTGGGGTAAGAACCTCCCTCCCCATTTGTTTGTCTGAGCCTGGCCAAGCTCCTTGTCCCCAGTTTATTCCTTGAGTAGGCATAGAGAGGAAGCCTTTTGTATGTTCTCTGTGGAAGTCAGCCTCAAGGGCACACTCCTGCGTGTCCGTTACATGAATTCTGTAAGTGAATAAAGAAAGGAGTGATGGTGTTGCCGTTGGAGAGAAGGGCACCAGTGTCTCAGTGGAATTTAGAATATCTCGCTCTCTCCCCAGGACTCCAAGCCCACTCTCTAAGCCCGAGATCACACATATGATGTCTATCTCATAGTAGGTGTGCAATAAATATTTCACAAGTCACTGGTACTAGTGAGTGCTCGCCACACTGTGGCCCAAGGCATGAAAAAACAGATTATAGGATGATGTGTGTACAACATGTAGCTGGAAGCCTGCTGCTTGTTAGCACAGCAAGTGTTAGCAATCATAGTGCCGGTGCAGCTGGGTCTCCTGCCAAGGAGCTCACAAACCGATCAGTAGAAGAACAATTCTGTGCAGGTCCTAGAGTCCAGGCTTGAAGGCAGTTGTCAGGGATGAGCTAGAGCCAGGCCTTGGAAGCAGAACAGATTTAGACAAGTGCCAAGTGCCTGTCTGTGGACCCTAAGTGCTGGGACACAGTAGTGAAATAGGTTTCCACCTCCTAGGAGCACAGATTATCTGTAGCAGGACCTCTGAGAACTGGAGAATAACAGCAAGCTTTCCGCGTGCCCTCTTGTGTGTATTCAGTATATCAATACCGAAGAGAAACACAGTTAAAGCAAGGATAGCTGAGTCTGACCAGAGAGAGGGCTGCAGAATTCACAGTCAGAAAGGATGACAGAGAGAAGGCCATGAAGAAGTCGCCCTGGTTGTAGGAGCAGCTGATGTACAGGGAGGGGAGCAGGATATGCAAAGTGACTAGGAAGGCACGTGCCTGGAGATAGGAGGATTAGGAAAGCAAGGGCAGGACAGAGAAAAAGGGTATCTATCACCAGACGGTGGAGCAGTGACGCAGTCAGGAGCTGTAGATGGTAAAAGAGACTCTAGAAGGTTCCCAACCATGGATGGTCATCATAGACACTACAAATGTGATACAACACAAAATCATAAGCGTACTTAAATCATGAAATTTTCTGTCTTTTTTTTTTTTTTTTTTTTTTTTTTTTTACTTGTGTGAAATTTGTGGATAACACCTGTTTCGGTTTGCTTTTCTATTGCTGTAATAAAATAGCATGGCCAAAAACAGTCTGGGGAGGAAAGGGTTTATTTGCTTATCCATGACAGTTCATCATGAAGGGAAGTTAGGGCAGGAACTCGAGAGGACCTGGGGGCAGGAACTGATGAGGGGACCATGGAGGGATGCTGCTCACTGCCTTGCTCCCCATGGCTCGCCAAGCCCAGGGATGGTGTAGCCCACAGTGAGCTGGACACTCTCGTACCAATCATTAATCAAGAAAATGCCCCCAGAGACTTAGCTACAAGCAATCTGATGGGAGCATTTTCTCAGCTGAAGTTTCCTCTTCCAGGCGACTGTAGCATGTGTCCAGTTGACAACAAGTTAACTAGGACAGCATTGTCACAATGCTAAAAGGTGGGAGACTTCACCTTAGTAAGAGCAACCGGAGTCGTAAGAGGGGCGGAGCCCAGGGGTGTGGTGCACGGTGGTCTCATACTGCTCCCTGTCCCTTGGAGACAGGTTCTTATCCTGCCAGCGCAGCCCAGCCGCAGCCATCCTGCAGCTGTTCGAGGAACAGAATGGCAGTCTGCAAGAGCTTCACTACCTCATGATATCCATGGAGCGGCTAGACTGCGCCTCTGCCATCCAGAACTACCTAAACAGAACCCCCGGGGGCAGCCCTGCCATGATGCACGGAGACACCTGCGAGTTCGATGAGAAACTCTAAGCACGCCCCGCGGGTTCTCTCGGGGTGCTGCAGTAGGCCGTGCCATGCCTATGAGCTCAGGCTCAATGCCGCGGACTCGGGTGGACTGAGCTGGGACCCTTCAGCGAAGCCAGACAGCCTTGCCCTGGGTCCTGAATCAGGACCACTCTACAACCTGTCGGCCAACTTTGTCCTGAGTGCAGGTTCCCTCCTTGTCGGTAGGGGGCGCGAGAGTCTGGGAGATGACCACAGCCCAGCCGGCTTCCAAAATGCTGTTTAATTTTCTTCTGGACGGCCAGGTGGCCCTGCAGGCACACTGAGGTAGAGATGCTCAGTCCACAAGTATTCACGGAGCACTGAGTCTCAGCACCAGGCCGGAGTCTTGGGGGGCATATCCGCTTCTTTGAACTTGCCCTGGAGTCTGTTCAGCCAGATGGAGATGCAATCGCCACCAGCTGAGAGAAAGTACCTTCCTATGGTTAGGGATGCCTGGGGGTGGAGCTGCTTAGCTTTGAGTTGAGAAGGGAGGACGCTGGGGTAGATTGGAACAGAGACAAGTCTCCAGAGAGGATTTTGGGAGAGATCTTTGGGTGGGGCTTGGGGAATAGGGTGGGTGCACAGAACAGAACCAAGAGCCAGTGTTGGGGCTGCACTAAGAGCTCACCCGATGAGTGTGAGGGAGGATGGCAGTGGGTTGAAGACCAGATCATATCTTCTGCCCTCTGGCTCCTGCCCTTTCATCTCCTCCCACGCAGCTCATACCTGTCTGATGTTGTCTCTCTCACCACACCGGAAGCTGCCAAGCCTCAGACCCATTATCTTCCCCAGCTCTATGTCTTTTCACCTTGAGCTGAGAGTGTTAAGTCTCAGGCTCCTTTTCCTGCAGTTACCTGCTTTCAGTGTCAGCTGGTCATTGTGTGGATCAGGGGATCAGGTCTTGCTTTGTCTCTATTTAGTTATTGTCCCCCCACCCCCACCCTCAGGCCAGGGTCTGAACTAATGCTGCATATCAAGGCTGCAGAGGGAGCCTCAGCTATTCAGGGAGTGAGTGAAGAGAGATCTTCCCCACAGATCAAGATCTCCTTTAGGGTCAGAAAGTAAAGACTAGAGATTCAAGCACGAATAATAAAATCCCAGAGACAGATGCAGAGGTTCAAACTGAAGATCAGAGAAGCAAAGCAGCCAGCCACTTGAGAGTTCTTACCCCTACTGATGCTCAGACCAAACTTCAGACTCCATCTCCAGACTGCCTCTCAGACTGCAATGCTCTCCTCAACATGGCTGGAGACTAATTCCTCATGCGACCCCTTGCTTCTTCCTTACATACCTTTCTAGTGCTGGGATTAAAGGCATGAGCTCCGTTACTCTTTTAGACTGATTCATTCTTGTGTAGCCCAGGGTTGTCTTGAACTCATAGAGATCCATTTGCCTCTGTCTCCTGAGTCTTGGGATTAAAGGAGTATGCCAACATTGCCTGGTGTCTATGGCTGTGACTAGCTTTGTATTCTGATCCCCAGTTTATATCATAAACACTATGTCACCACAGGACATTCCATCCAGTCAACAGTTCTGGCTATATCAATAGCTTATCTTGCTTACCAATAGTTTTGCTAATTTGTCCAAAGGCAGATAATCTCTCTGAAAGCACTAAGAATTCACTTCCATATTTTAGTGCATTTTTGGTACTTTCAAATGACAGGCCATATTAATTAGTAAAATAGGAAAATGCCTCTCTTCATAACTATGTTTTGCTAAGATGGATAAATTTGGATATAGGTATGATTTTTAATACAATTTAAAATTTTCAGTTATATTATGTGTAGACATGTGTGTGCAGTGGAAGGCAGAAGAGACCATTGGGTCCCCTGCAGCTGGAGGTTGTGGGCCACTTGTCCAGGGTACAAGGAACTGAACTCTGGTCCCCTACAAGGGCAGTCCTAACAACTACACTGAGCCATCTCTCCAGCCTTCAGTGACTTCAGATGGTAAAGTTATACTGCTGAGCAATTGGTAGTTTGTACTTCTGGGATGAACACAGATTGTAACTCAGGCAGCTTATTTTCCCCTTTCTTGAAGCAAATCTTAAGATTTGGGCACTTACATTCCTCCTTGTTCTTTAAGCCGTATCTGTCCCATTCTACCTTCTCTCCATTCCACCGCTGATCTGTTCAAATTGGTGCCTTGGTTCAGAACTGGCCAGCAAAAGGCACTTTCCTCCCCTCAGTGTTCCACAGTCTTCTCTGCCCAGCAAGCCAATCAAAGGCATCCTTGGAGTCCTTTCTGGAACAATTGATTTTATGTAGCAAACAGAAGCCACAGGGGTTACAGGAGAGGGGGATTGTGGGAGCTCTGCTTCCCATCACGGGAGAGAATGCTTTCTGGCGTGTGTTAAGGTTCGATAGAGGAATGGAAGTGATGGGATGTGTATACTTAAAATGGTGTTTATTAGATTGGCTTACGGGATATGACCTGAAAATTCCAACATGCTGTCTTCACACCAAAGAGACTGAGGGACAGGTAGTTGTTTGCTATATATGGCTGGGTTCGTTAGCAGTCCCAATTTGTACTAAAGGTCTAGAGGATTCCTGGAGAGCCATTAGTCTTCTGTCCACGTTGGAAACCTGAAGAGGGGGACAGGGAGTTGGAGTTTTGATACCAGTAAAGAGTTGCGGCTGCCACAGCAACAGGGTGGATAAACTTGCCAGCCAGAGTGAAGGCGCGCAGGCAAAAGGCCACACTTTTTCTCTTGGTCTTTTTCTTTTTAATCTGGGCTGTCACTGCAAGGTGTCCCCCATGTAGGGTGGGTCTTTCTCACTTCAAATAAGAAAATCAAAGCCAGCCCCTCACAGGTGTGCCCAACAGCTCGCTTTTGAGTTGATTCCAGATCCAGGCAGGCTGACAAGTAGGACTGATCAATCGCAAGCTGCCCGGGCCAGCTTCTCAGAACGAGTTCTCAGGGCTGGCGAAAGGATGCTTGCATGTCCTGGTATATGGGCAGGCTGTGTGGTTCCTGCCTGACTAGTAGGTGACAGACTTAATGCTTTGTCCTAGCGTTTGGGTGGGTGTGAATGGGGCCCTTTCACCCACAGAGCAAAGCAGGAGTGGAGAGGTCCGTCAGGTCCTTTGAGCCCACAGACAGTGACCCAGTCGTATGGAGATTCTTTCCTCTTGTGCTTTGCCTTTACTGAAACCTTGATGGCCGCTTGTGGCTTTTCTTCTAGCCCTTTCCCTGTTAGGTTACCTCTCTGGTCCTGGCTTTGCTCTCACGAATGTCGTAGAGGCCTTGTCTAATCTTGCTCCTACAGGCAAGAGTCTGTGGGCAGCAGGGGCTGTCACAGGGTGAGGTGAAGTTAGTGCCACCAGGGCTCACAGGGAAGACCGTCTCAGTACCCACTCAGAGCACGGGTGACGCACTGAGGTCCAGATCTGTGTCATCCAATTGAAATGCAACGGGCACACACACCCACATTCACAACTTGTAAGAGTCACATCCAAGAATATAGAGAGACGCTGGGATGGCTCAGAGGCATGTGCTGACAAGCAGGACAGCCTGGGTTCAGTACCTAGGTCCCAGCTGGTGGAAGGGGGGGACAGATTCCCGCAGGTTGTCCCCTGACCTCCACATACGCACTGTGGCACAAACGTGACTTCCTCTCCTCTAAAAATAAATGTAATACAAAGTTTAATGTAAAAAGAGACATGTGACATCAGCTTGGATAATATATTTTGTTAAATCTAATATATCCAGGATGCTATCATTTCCACATACAACCATTCAAAAATTAGTACCATACTTAAGTTCTTTAAAAGTTTACTATTTTCAGTCAATTAATTTGTGTGTGTGTGTGAGTGTGAGTGTGTATGTGTGAGTGTGTGTGAGTGTGAGTGTGTATATGTGTGTGTGTGTGTGTGTGTGTGAGAGAGAGAGAGAGAGAGAGAGAGAGAGAGAGAGAGAGAGAGAGAGTAAGTAGGGGAAGAGCAAGGGGGAGAGAGTAACCCTCTGTGTATGGGATCACAGGACAACTTTTGGAAATGGTTCTCCCGATCCCTGAGAGTCCTGTCCTGGGGATTGAGCTCAGGACATCAGCCGCATACAGCAAGCATTTTATCTGCTGAGCTTCCCCACTACCCCTCGTTTATTATCATCATTGCCGTGTGGTTTCTGTGTGTGATGGATGCACACATGTGTGGAACCCAGAAGGCGACTCTGGGGTTCTCGTCACACTTTGATGTGAGTTCCAGGTACTGCAACAGGTCTCTCAGCCTTTGAGACAAGAATCTCTGCTCACTAAGCCGAGTCACCACTGGCCCACTGGCACCTTTTAAATTATTTTCAGCGTTACATATCTGGCATGTGGGATGCCTTTCCCAGTCACAGCACATTCCAACCTGCATGACACTGTAGTTTTTCTCTGCCCTGTATCTCATGCCGGTGTGTCTCGTGTAGCAAAGAGGGACGTAATGGAAACTTTGGAACATAGAACCTACTTTAGGGAGAACTCATGATGAGTTTCATCAGGACCCCAACTTCTCTTTGCTTTCCAGCCTCAGTAAGGCTCTCCGCCACATGCTCCCATCACGACGTTCCATGCTATCCCAAGGCCAAAGCCACCGGCCTCATTGACCGTGGATGGAAACTTTGATACTGTGAGCTCAAACCTTCCTTCCTTCTCAAGTGTTTTGTCATAGTGACAGAAAGCAGCCAGTATTTGTTAACTAGTCATTCGAAATAATTGATATGTATTTAGCTTTCATAAAATTTATAGCTGAACAAAACATACTCACATACATAAGACAAATAGACTGCAAGCTTTAAAATTTTTTTTCTTTAAAAATTCATAAAAATAGAATTAGGGATTTATCTTAAATTTAAATTCATGGTAACAAGATAAGATGAAAATTTAGCTCCTCAGGTTTTCTAGCTACATCTCAAGGGCTCAGTAGCTATGCATAGAGAGTGGGTACTATTACTAATAGGATAGACTGGATTATAAATCCAGCAAAGATGTATGTTTGAACATCCATCCATCTGTCCATCCAACCATATCCATCCATCAACCCACATCATCCATCTACCCATCTCTATCCACTCATCTGTATCTATCAGCCACCCATCTCCCATAACCTATTCATTTATATCTGTCTACCTACTCACCCACCCATATATACCCATCCACCTACCTACCCATATCCATCCATCCATCCATCCACTTATTTGTCCATCACCCCCATTCATCCATCCATCTATACATCTTACATTTGCTGAGTATCTATCATATGCTAAGCCCTGCACAAGTTGTGGTGATAAAAGCTCAGTGATGAAGAGGTGTCTTGTTTTCTTGGAGTCTAAGGGATGGTGGGAGTCAGAGGGAAATGCTCTTTCCTTGCATGCTTCTTGCATTAACTCAAGAATAAAATGGAGGAGTCTAGTACATACCTAATAAATGTACTGGGAAACTAGATAAATAGAATAGTTGGTGAAGTGCTTGCCTTGCAAATCTGATGACATGCGTTTGATCCTCAGAACCCATATTTTAAAAAGCTGGATATAGTGGTGAATGCTTGGGGGGTT